GGGTAGCTGAAGCGCTCGGTCGCTCTTGACGAAGAAATAGGCATTTTATACACGGGTATAACCCATCCTACTCTGCGTAAGGCTGGTTTACGCAGAGGCGCTTTCCCAGCTTCTCTCGACGTGAAACCACGGAAGTCCTTCGTTGTTTTCTCGCTTGATTTTCCCTCTGAACGTGTTTAGCCATGTTTTTACCCAGGACGCTGGAATAAGAAAGGTCTAACGGGCTTTATTTTGCTCTGGGGGAGCTGAAATTCGGTGCCCGCCGCAGAGCTAACAGGGTGCTACGCTCTCCTTTGCCACACGCGCGGTGCGTTTTGTCTTCACGTGCTGCTGTCACTTCCAGGGACCAAAAAATAATAGCTTTTCAGTAGAAAACTGGCATTTTCCAATACCCAGAAAACCAGGTCAATTGATGTCCGATAGCTACACCGGCTTCTGCCCGTTTCTGCCCGTGTAACAGCAGTTGTTCAGAAACACGCAGGGTTGACCCCTTAACCTGGATCTACCAACCCTGGTCTCGCTTTGTTCCCTTTGGGGCCTGGAAACGTTTTTTGCCAGAAGCGGGGTGCAAACAGTCAAACAAAAGTCTAATTCACTTTCCTGCTTTGTCCCCCTCCAGACGTAATCTCATTTTAATTAAATTACCTTACCCCAATGAATGAAAATACAAACCACAGATCATATTCCACACTGAATTTTTCCACAGCCCATTTTCTTAGAATTCCTCTCTCTGCTGCTCAAGGTCTTTTAGACGGAACACACGCACTGTGTGAGCCTCACTTCGAATACTCTAAGGATTAATTGAAGAACACGATGGAAGGAAGGGGAGAGCGTGAGTAAAATAGCTCGTTTATATTTGTATCCTCAAATGTCAGTTCATTACCAAAGTTAGAAACCAGCTGATACAGAAAACTCATTACGGCCTCATTTAGAATGCTCATTTCTTGAGAGACGAAAAAGAATTGACTTGCGTGTCTTACTTGTCCAACACTAATATGCCACATTTTACCGTACGCTTTAGGATGTGAAGTAAAGAGGGTTTTCTTTAGGGGGCAGTATGTTTAATACTCTGTTTAACTTGTTTATCTGCATTTCTTTTAAATCCAAAGCAGTGAGGACTCCTGCTGCTCTCTGTTCTCAACGCTCCTATTACTCGAGTCCCATTATTTGCGTAGTTTTTGCGAGCTTTGGTTATTTATTTGGCAGCATGTAAGTCAGGCAAAATGAAATGGTTGGGGAAGTCACGTCTACTGTGACTTTAGTGCTTGTAACTGTGTCCAGTTAGCGGTTAGGTGACCCGGATCTCTGTTCACAAGTGCGGCCAGGATGCAGTAAGCTGCTTCTGGGAGCGAGACAGACACACGGTGCCTGGGACAGCCCCGCGCGCCGGCTCTGCTGGCCAGCAGGCTCCGTCTGTCGGTGCCGGCTGGGGCACTCGTGTCACGGAGCCGTGACTTGCTCTGCAGACATCAGGCTGAAGTCACAGTCGGTTCTGTACGAATCCCCAGGTAGCCTGTAGTGTCCCCCTTGCCTCGCCAAGAACAGCAAGGGTGTAATTTGAGTGGTTTGACTGGGAAATTCTGCAAGTAAAACGTCCCACAAATTTGTACTAACCCAGGCTGTTAAGGGTGGTCAAAAGGTCACCGCACCTGAGCTGTGGTTGGGACACAGCCCTGGTGCTGAGGGGAAGTCTGCAAAGCCCGCCTGTGGGGAAGGCAGGGTACGTTGTTTGGTCGGTTGGTATTGTTTGCTTAATTTCCCTAGCACTGACACCGTGTCATCCGTCTAACACTTCTGTGCCATTAGAAAACATCCTGAATCGAGGGAAATGTGGAAGAAGAAATTAAACATTAGTGTAATAAAGAAAAAACCACATGCAGTTGCAAATGTTGGCAAGTTTCTCCAGCATTAATCTCTGCGGGCGAGATTTTATTGCCAGTGGGCCAGACTTAGTCATTTGTAGGCCCTTCGAGTTGTACCTTACTGTACAGCAAATCCCGCGGGTATCTGGGGGTCTCCCTGTGAAATAAGGTGTGGCGCTTACAGGAATAAGCGATGTGGCTCTCCCCGGGAATCGCTGTCTCCATCTCCTCTCCTCCCCCGGTGCCGGCGGTGGCACGGTGGTGGTGGTGGTGGTGGCACAGTTGCGCCGTCCCCAGTCACTCCTCTCTCCCGTCACCCCGAGCCTGCCCATGCCCCGGTTCCAGGGAAAGCCAAGTGTCTACTATTCACCTGCGAGGTGACGAACTCATTCTAGAAATGAATTTTATGTACCTTTATCAATTTTCCGAGATCTGGCTGTTCCTATTTCCCACCTTGTGTAAATTTTCCTCGGGTGAGCTACTGCATCCTTCAACAAATATCTGCGGATT